CAGCCGGTCCCGCAGAGACAAACGGCTGTGGGTCACCACTCAGCTGCTGGAACAGAACTCAGGTCCTCTGGAGCAGCAACCAGTACTCGTAATCACTGAGCCATCTGTCCAGACCCCCAAAAAACTTGTTTGGAAACAGTATTGACCAAGCTGGCTTTCAGCTCACACTCCTCAGCCTTCTGAGCACTAGGTCACAGACTGACCACGCTCTCCACCAGGCCTTTAAACACTGAAAAGTTAGCATCCACGATGAGAGATACTACATGAAACACTCTGGATTTAAGCACTAATTACCAACCATTAAAGTGCAAAATAGCTCATTAACTTTGGAGCATTAATGTACATCAAAATGGGTACTATTGAGTTAAATAAAACCCTAATTTAATCTTTAAAAAAAATGTAATCCAGGCGAGCGGTAGTGGCACACACCTTTAGTCCCAGCACTCCGGGAGGCAGAGGCAGGCGGATCTCTATGAGTTCGAGGCTCAGTCTGGTCTATAAGAGTTAGTTCCAGGACAGGCTCCAAAGCAACACAGAGAAACCCTGTCTAAAAAAAAAAAAAAAAGGAAAAAAAAAAAAAAAAAACCCAGACAAAACAAAATGTAACCCTAAACTGAGCTATGGTAGCATAGCCCTTTAATTCCAGCATTCAGGGGTTGCATTCCCCACCCCTCAAAGGGTTAGGGTTTCCTTTTGTTTTTGTTTTGGTCTTGGTTTTTCCAAGACAGGGTTTCTCTGTGTAGCCTTGGCCATCCCCGAACTTGCTCTGTAGACCAGGCTGGCTTCAAAACTCACAGATGACCACCTGCCTCTGCCTCTTGAGCGCTGGGATCAAGTGTGTGATACCAATAGAAAGTTTCAGTACTTATGGAGATGGCATTCTATTTTTCTGCTCTAGAGAGTGGGTTCCTGGTCAGGTCTTTTTTCTTGGTACTAAAGGTTGAATCCAGGGCCTGACACACGTAGAGGCATTCTATCAGTGAGCTACATCTCCTGAACCTGCAGTTGACTTATTTTCTGTCTCTATTGAACGCCTCAGAAACACCAGGGACATTGCCATCAGTGGAAATGGGTGTGTTGGAGTTGAAGTCCCAACAGATCTGGACCAAGCTGATGGAACCGACACCTGGGCAGGTCAGCCATGATGTTTCTGATTGGGTCCTGGATGGCAGGAAACTCCAGCGGGTGCTGGCCACAGACTGGCCACTTGGAACAGGCTCACAGAGTTCACAGAGCCTGCAGCCCTAGGATCCAACATGGAGCCGTTCTCTCCCTCAGTTACGGCCAGGAAGGGCTCTCTAGAGCTATGGTTCTCAGCCTTCCTACTGTTGTAACCCTTCAACATGTGATGACACCCCAACCATGAACTTATGTTCATTGCTACTTAATAACTGTGATTTTGCTACTGTTATCATAAATATCGGTGTTTTCCCATGGTAAGGAGTCATAAGCCACAGACTTTTTAGTAATTTACCTAAACTTTTATTTTATGTGCATTGGTGTGAAGGTATCAGATAGTAGATCCCTGGGACTGTTGTTACAGACAGTTGCGAGCTGTCATAAGGGTACTGAGAATTGAACCTGAGGCCCCTGGAAGAGCAGCCAGTGCTCTTAACCGCTGAGCCATCTCTCCAGCCCCCAGAAGGGCATCTTTAGAAAGCATCATTCTGCCTTCTGCCGGTGGTGGTGCACACCTTAATCCCAGCTTTTGGGAGGCAGAGACAGAGAGGCAAAGGCAGGTGGATCTCTGAGTTTAAGGCCAGCTTGTCTACAGAGCTAGTTCTAGGACAGCCAGGCCTACACAGAGAAACCCTGTCTCAAAACAAAAGCAAAAACAAACAAAAACCCAACAACAAAAAGAATCCAGCAACAAAACCCAAAAAAACAAAGACCCATCCTTCCACCCTTTCAAATGAGTACCCAAGGTCTTTAGGTCTTCGGTCACAAGAACAAGAGGCCAGGCTGCCTACAGGAGGGGAGGGCGTGGGGCTGTCTGCCCTATGCTGGTTGGCCAAGGTGGCAGGGTCCTACCAAGGCCACACCATACCTGCCACACCCACCAGGTCCTGATTTGTGACAGTAGGGTACTCTGCGGAGCAGCTCTGTCCCTGCCACTTCTTATGGCCTCACACAAGGTTTTGGGAGCTACATCCCGAGCCCATGGAGTTCTTGGGAGCCGGGAAGGGCCATTGTTTAAAAATATCCATCACCACAGCCGGGCAGGCAAACAGTCCTGAACTAGAGGGACTCTTTGTGGTAACTTCAAGCCCCAGAGGGGTCAGGTAACCTTCCCTTCCTTCCCACAGGTTATATAGTTCTGGGGGGTCAGGCCTCAGCCACAATGGAGTATCTGGTCCTAAGCATTCTCTTCCTTCTCTGGCATGAAGGACACCCCAAGATCCAATGTCACAGCCACTCAACCCCTGGGGGCTGCTGGCCTTCAGTGAGGGAAGTTGCTAAGTGCAACTTCTGGGCCCACAACTTTTTAGAGCCACACGCCTTAGGAAACCCCCCAACCGCTCTCCTGGCACTGTGGTCCGTGTTCCTTATTCAATCAAAAATGGGCGCTGTGAACATCCAAAGCCTCTGGGGTCTAAAAAAAACCTATATCCGAGCCTTGGTTTTCTAAGCAGAGGATCCCACAGCAGCCTCTCTGAATCTTGGTGCTATGGTATTGTCAGTGTCAGAAGCCATTAGACTCATTAATGAAGGGCCTGAGGTGTTCGGGAGCTGGAATTGAGTAGCCCAGTTCCTAGAGGGACTAGAACTTAATATCGCTGGCTTCCAGTCCTTTGGATAAAAGACCAACAAGAACTACCTGTGTTTTGTGTCTCTTGTCTTCCGATTGCTTGCTTGCTCAGTGGGCATAGATGACTGGACAGCACTGCCACCTGGTGGCTGGCTAGGGCAGTGTTAGCTTCCCCAGACGGGAGGGGGCAGTCAGCACTGCATACACAAAGGGAGGCTCCTTCCTGTCATGGTCAGCACTGACCATGAAATTGACTAACTGCAGGGCTTCACCAGCTGAGCCCGCAGGGAACAGGTGGCTCAGGCACACACAGGGCTTGCACGATGGATGGCTGTCTGTGGGCAGGGCCTTCTGGTTATTCCTGCCTGAGCATGACACACTCCCTTACCAATTCCTATCCCTCTGTCTTGTTGGGTGTGTGTGGGCAGCTATTGATCAAGTTCAGCCATTTGCCAAGGTATATACACATTTTATTTAAAAAAGTTTACAGTTTTCATTATACACAACTATTAAGAGGTTATAGTCAGAGGAGGCATTTGTCCAGATGACAGACATGCCCACTAGATCATCACAATGCAAGGGAAGTGGAAGGTAGGAGATAGGGCAAGGAGGGGAAAGCGGTAAAAAGCTTAGATTTCAATTAAGGGCTGGTGAGTCCCTTTTATCTCTTCAAGTATCACACAACGTGTACCAAATACAATCAGTAATCAAAGGCCATTTCTTCCCACGCCCACAGCTGAGTAACTCCTAAACCAAGAGCCGTGGCCATTCCTCAGGCGAGTGGAAAGCTGCACACCCATGGCCCCAACGGGCCTTCACTTCATCCAATCCCTAAAGAGCTGGCCAAGGTGTTCAGTGGCCAAAGGAAGGTGAACATGGATTCAAAAGTCTAAAAGAAATGCAGTTCTTTGTGCAAATCAGAAGTGAGCTGGTTTCACTCAGCAAGGTTATGACCCAATTAGAAGTGACCAAAACAAAAAACTCTTTGCTAACTTTTGTAACTTTGCTTGCCTTTTCCGAGTCCCGTGAAAACACACAGGGGACACATGCCAGTTCAAACCCAATGCCAGCTCTCACGAACCTGACCCAGAGATTAGACTGGCAGAGATCTGTCATGATTCTTAGCCACCCCAAAGGTGGCCTAGAAAATGCAAGTATCAGGTCAAGGCCAACTAGAACTTCGGGGAGCCCTTTCCAGGGCATAGTTCCTCTGAGAAGACACACCCCTCAGGAGCCTAGATCAGCTGGTTGGCAATTAGAACAGTGCTTGAAGTGGACAAAAATATTAGTGCTGGAGGGATGTGGCAACTTCTGGGGACTCTTTCATTAATAGGAAATGCTGGTTGAAGCTGCACAGTAAGAGAAGGGTGGAGGCTGCTGACAAAAATGTCAAAACGCCAGGGTCTATTGTTGGCAACCACAGAACACAGCCCACTGGCCCAGTGCCTGGCTTTCAGGGGACACAGAACGTGGCAGGTTTGGGCTGCCAGGCAGCAGCCACTTTGCTTGTTGGTGTTTGGCAAGAGCTCCAGTCAATCTGAATGGGGGCAGAGAAGGCTCCCACTGGTAAACCACGAAGTAGGACCTCAATACTGGAAGGTACAAAGGGCAGGTAAATACCAGCAACAGCTCTAACTTACTGGTTCCCCTTCCAAAGCAGGGGCTCAGTGCCCTCTTGGGTGTTAGGAGGGACACCCACAGCTAACTGGAGAAGGGTTTCAGTGCCCAAACAGTCAGGCTGCAGCGCTCATCCATTTACTGTGGTGACTGAGTCCCCAAGAGTCACAGCCAGGGTTTATTTCTGGGTCCCTTCCACCTATGGGTCTGGTATGGCCATCTATCCCCAACCTCATCAAGGAGCATGGGCGGGCCAGAAAGCTTGCAAAGTCAGTTTCCTAACAGGGTCAAGGCCCAGAGAGCAGCAATGTGAGCAGAATCAGAGCCGGGGCCAGGAAGCTGGGGGTAGTGATTGGGGGCAGTCATGACTGCTGGTGCTGCCTTCACCGTTCGCCTGGACGGACGGACTGCCCTGCGGCCTCAAGGCCCAGGCTGGCTTCCCTCGGGCATCTCGGCACGGTCAGGAGGGACTGATGTGTCCTCACTGGAGCCATGTGGGTTCTGCAAGGGTCAGCAGTAACTGCTCACGCCCATTCCCTAAACTTGACTCTTATGCTTTGTTGGACTTTTTTGTTCTGTATTTATTTTTTCAACAAGATCAAAAGCAATTATCAAGGACCTTTTTTTTGGGGGGGGGAAGGTAATTAGAATACTATTTTTATACAGTATTGAAAAAATACATTTTTTTATTGTTTGAACTCAAAATCACCACCCAGCACTTTAAGCCTACCCTAAGTAGCACCTACAGTAAAGGTTACAGCATGAGCAAACTGCTAGTCCTCAAGGGAAACAAGGTGGAAGTGTTAGCAGAGCTCCTCCTTCCCCAAACAGAAGACAGCATGCCAGGTAAGCACAGCATTACAGCACACAGCGTTACACGGCACAGCTGAACCCACCTTCCAACAGGCAGGGTGCCCGAGAGGACAGCACAGTGAACCCACCACAGCCCCACAGACTGCATTTCCCAAAGAAAACCTTTCGCTTCATGCCCGTAATCAACATAAAATAAGTAATTATTTGTCTTTTTATTTAGGAAAATAATCATGCTAAAAGTTGTACTTTATATAGATTTTCAAAGGAAAGACTGATTGTGCTTTCTGAATTAAAAGAGAGAGAGAGAGAGGTGTCTCCCAATCTCACAGACTTGAACCCTGTGGGATACAGCACTTCTACACTAAACACATGGAAGGAAAAGTTAGTCCAGTGGGACATTCAATGTCTTCAGAAGGTCCTAGGACTGGCTACTTCTACTGTTCAGGTTTCAGCAGAAAGAATACAGAGCTGTTGTCTACACTGTCTCCAAACCCCTCAGAGTCAGATGGAAACTGCTGGGCCCTCTGGGTGGCAGTTAGCTGAGCAGGCGCTGGGCAGCAGCAGGCTAGGCTTCCAGCTGACACAGAGGGAGAAAGCCTCCTCCCCTCCCTCCCTACCTGCCTACTCATGGCTCTCACCCCTTCTCCCTCATCAGTCACAGAACAAGTGGCTCCTCCCCACCTGACACTACTGCGCACAACTTCCATCTGATTCAATTATTACCCTTTTAAATTTAGGATGTTTTGGGTCTCAGAAACCCACACTTCCCTCTCCCATAAGCAGTTGGCAACTGGGCTGCTGCCAGGAGCAGCTGTCAGAGAGAAAACTAAGACTGGAGTTCAAAGGATTGTGCAGGGCTCAAGCCTCGAGGCCAGTCCTCCTCCATCTGATGGTCCACCGAGTGCCTTGTCCAGGGAGGAGACAGTCTCTTAGTAGGTAAAATTAAATCTGTAACCTGTCCAAGTTCAAGTCACATTTAAAAAAAAAAAAAAAAAAAAAAAAAAAAAAGGAACAAAAGACACCAAACAAAAACTGCTTCCAGTTTTTGCAGCTCAGGGCAGTGGTCTCCAGCGGGCCCAGCGCTGGGATAGGATAGGATAGATGTAATTGGGTGGGGCCCAGCGCCGGGATAGGATAGATGTAACTGCATCGTCCACTTTTCTCCTCCAGTCCTGTTCTCTCAAAAAAACATCTGGATGACAAGCTGTACCCCAAGAAAAAAGAATTGGGTTCAGAAAACACTCCAAAAGGTTCTCCAAAGCAAAACCAGTGTGACTGCAGGTCTGGCAGCACAGAGGGCAGGAATCTATCTAGAAAAATGCACTTAAATCTGAGTCAAAAAAAAAAAAAAAAAAAAAAAAAAAGTTCTAAGTCTCACTTGTCACTCAATTCCGTGTCACACTGCTCCTGGGAAAGGCCACTGAGGACCCGGGAGCAGCTGATGTGTGCACGGCTAGCTTTACATGCTCCTAAAGCTTGCCTCTTCCTCTCAACCTGTCCCTTTCACTCTGGAAAAGCACTGTTCTATCTTCATCCAAGAGCTGGTAGATTTGGTTTTTTCTTTGGAACCATCAATAAAAAGAAGCAACTTTTCCTGTTTTACTTGCATTTACCTATCAGAGCGGCAATCTCTTGACAGCTCAGTAGCACACAGGCTGACTTGGCCAAATGGACTTATGAATGCATGCATTCAGACCGCATATTGCTACCAAAATGGAATGTGGGAATATGCTATGCACCTCAGGTTGAGAAATGACCAAGAAATCAAGATCTAAAGGGTGATATATAATATATATATATCAATGCTATTATTCATAAAAACCTTGTTTAGTAATAAAAAAAATTGCTTTGTTTAAATATGAATATTATAGTCTGCTTCTCATGGTTAGGAAATAATAGTCTTTCTGAAAAGCAGATGCTTTTCTACTACAACTCCATGTCCTGGGCCTCATCTTCTGAAAAGTCAGACATAGAACTCTCCGACGAGCTGTCGCCAGTGCCCTCTTCCTGTTCCTTCAGGGCCTCCTCCGTTGCATATTTCTGGATGTACTCTGCAAAGGGAAGGGCAAATGAAGAAAATACAGGGATCAGTGACTCCTAAGGTACAGACTTCCCTGCTATACCAGGGTAAGAGTTGTATGACCAGCTGGGTAGTTGTGGTGCACGCCTTTAATCTCAGCACTTTTGAGACAGAGGCAGATGGAACCCTGAAGACAGCCTGGTCTATAGAGTGAGTTCCAGGACAGGCTCCAAAACTACAGAGAAACCCTGCCTTGAAAAACCAACCAACCAAACAAAAAATTTTGGGGCTGGAGAGATGGCTCAGAAGTTAAGAGCAGCTGGTCTTCCAGAGGTCCTGAGTTCAATTCTCAGCAACCACATGGTGGCTCACAACCATCTGCAATGGGATCTGGTGTCCCTTCTGGCCTGCAGGGATACATGGGGACAGAACACTGTACATAATCAATAAAAATTTAAAAATCCACAGTGGTTAATCAGGACACCCCATAGTCCTCTGACCTGTAGCTATGTAATTACAGCCAGCTCAGGTCTGTTACTAGAGTAACTGGAAGCAGACAGTAATAATGGTCCCAGTCTACTCATTGGGAACAGGCTGTTCAGGAGAGATTGACTGGCTCTTCATGCATTATTCACATCAAGATTTATGCTTCAAAAGCCTAGGTCAAATGTGCTGGCTAAGGACGAATTTAAGAAGTGCTGAATAAAGAATAAAGCTGTTCCTAAAAGCACACTTGGTTGCTGGGAGATGATGGCACATACCTTTAGTTCCAGCACTTGGGAGGCGGAGGTGGAGGTGGAGGCAGATCTGAGTTCAAGGTCAACCTGTTCTACAGAAACCCTGTCTTGAAAAGCCAACATTTGTGGTGAGCTTCCTGCCCTTGTATAGCAAGTACTGAGATGACAGATGTGTGTCACCACACTCAGCCGTGTGTCCCTTATGAACAAATTTGTGGGTCTGAGAATCAGAGCCCTTTATAATCACAGCAAGATCTTTATACTAAGATCGTGAGACTAAAGAAGCTCTTACCTACTTAAGATTTTCTTTTGCCCTTATGGGACAAGATCTCATGTATTCAAGGCTGGCCTTAAACTTGATTTGAATCCAAGAATGACCTTGAATTTCTAACCATTATAACTCCATGCTGGGATTATAGGCATGTTCCATTATGCCTGGTTAAAAATGTCCTTTTTAGAGTTCGTTATGGTACACAGCTTTTAATCCCAGGGCTCAGGAGGCAGAGGCAGGCAGATCTTTCTGAGTCCCAGGCCAGGCAGGGTACTGTTACACAGTGAAATCTGTCTCAAAAAAGGCTGGGTGGTGGTGGCAGCAGTGCACACCTTTAATCCCAGCACTCGGGAGGTAGAGAAAGGGGGAGCTCTGTGAGTTTGAGGCCAGCCTGGTCTACAGAGCAAATTCTAGGACAGGTAGGGCTACACAGAGGAACCCTGTCTGAAAAGGAAAACAAAACTAAAGTGTGCCTCTTAGAATAAGAAAAATGTTGACTTATGTGTTATGTATGTGCACAGGTGCAGGTGTTCAAAGAGATCAAAGTGTGGGCCCCAACGTCCAGGGTTACAGGAGGCTGCGGGTTGTTCATGTGGGGGCTGGGAATTGAACTTGGGTCTTTTGAAAGAGCACCAAGTGTTGCTAACCACTGAGCCATTTCTCCAGCCCAGAGATTTTATTTCTGATTCATGGCTGGCAGAAGGCCATGAAATTAACAACAGACACAGAAGGCAGGGGCTGCAACATAACAGGGATTGGTGAGGGCTAAGGGAGGCAGATATAACCACTTAAGCCTCCATGATCTGTGAATCCTGTACAAAACAGTCCATTTAAAGTCTTAGTGTCACCAAAACTGTGTGGCTGGGCTATAACAATATCATAACTATCCATGGTTTGTAGACACCGGTAAGTGAAGGCTGTCAAAATGTTAGCATAGTTTCCTAACAAAATTCTATCTGGTTGAAACTGCATTTTTCCTTGAAATATTTGGCTGCTTTGGCTATTAAGTCACTATACTGTATTAAATTAGGTATCAAATTTTCAAAGTACTTGAGACCTAAGAAAGTGAATTGCGGGCCATAGGATGAGAAAAACAAAGCAAAACAGAAGGAAACTATTATTTAACACATGCCCCCGGTATTCTTGTAACCTAAACTGTGTAGAGCTAAAGAGGAAGGCCTGTTTTCAAGCTCCCTAACATACCTTTACTGCCATTGCTGGCAAACGGATGAGACATTTTGTTCAGATGAGCACATCACTAACTAAAACAAGGGGACTCCAGTGCCTGCCATTTGTGCAGGAGTAGACCTCCTTGTCATCCTTCAAGTCCTTTTCCATTAGGTGTTACTGCTTTATGCACCGCCGCCTTTTTTACTAGGCCAGTTCTCAGATACAGACAAAGGCAGAGGCAAGCCAGGGCTGTGAGTATAATGCAACCATAGAACACACTGCAGAGCAGAGGCAAGCTGATCAAACTCAGGCCTTTTCTTTTAACCCAACTCTAGCCCAGTATGCAAGTGGTCCTAAGCATGGGAAAGTAGCCTTCTAAACCCTGAGAGCCAATGGCACCATGCCACCCACATGGTGTCTATGTAGTGCCACAGCAGTCTCTTTTTAGAGTAGAGAAAAACTATGAGGAACTGAGTTGTTTTTGTTTTTTTTTTTTTTTTTTTTTGTGACAGGGTTTCTCTGCTTAACAGCCCGGGTTGTCCTGGAACTCACTTTGTAGAACAGGCTGGCCTTGAACTCAGAGATCCTCCTGCCTCTGCTTCCTGAGTTCTGGAATTAAAGGCACGCACCACCTAGCAGGAACTGAGTAATTTCAGGCAGTTTTAATGGTCAACTGAAAGCACATGCCCCCTTACCTTTAATTTTCTGCTTGTATTCTTCTGGCCGGTGGAGGTACATGGCTGCAGCGTCACCATTGAGAGGGTCTATGGGGTTAGGGTAGGCCAATAACTGGGGAAGGAAGGACTCAAATATATTGGTAAGATCTGAAAAAACAAACAAGCAAACACACACTTCATTCTTGGGAACATGCAATTCCACCTAATTAGCAGCAGTCGACAGTGATCGCTGTTAAAAACTGTTTTCATTTCCGTGTGTGTTTGAGGCTGCATTAACTTATGTGTGTCATGTTTGGTGCAGATGCCCAGGAAGGTCAGCGGCTGCTGGGTACCAGCTAGGTTTTCACAAGAGCAGGAAGCAATCTTTTTTTTTTCTTTAAAAAAAATTTATTCTTTGTGTTTTTCACATCACGTTTCCCGATCCCACCCACCTCCTGTCCCCATTGCACCAGCCCCTGCAATCCCACCCCCCCAAAGTAAAACAAAAGAAAACTTAGATTAGAACTAAAGAAAAAGGAAGGGAAGGTCTCGTCCAGGAAGCTGCAGTACGAGCGACAGAGAGAGTCACCTTTACCCATACATATTTACATGGAGGTGTTCATTGCAAATTACCATTGGTCTGGTTCGAGGCTTCTGGTTTCTGCTACATTACTGACACTTGGACACTCACTGGGACTCTTCCTGGACAGCCTGTTGCTGCCCTGTGTAGCCCTGGGTCCGAAGGACCCCTCCACCCCCGTGTCCTAGCAGATCACAGATTCACAGATGTGGTGGATGTTGGATGGGGTAACACTTAACCCTGGTCCTGAGCTTGGGTAGTTGCAGGGTTGGTCAGCCCAGCAGCTCTCACCACCAGGGCAAGCTCTCCTGCATTGTCCTGGCTAGTTCAGGAGTCATGAGTAAGGGGCGGGGCCAGTTCTCAGGTGTTTACATCCTCATGGGTGTGATGGTTTACATCCTCCCTCACACCTTCAAGGCCAGCTCTACTGTGCTGCCCAGTAGCACGGTAGGGCCATTCCGGAGAAGCTCTCTCTCCACTCCCCCAACACCCTCTTATCTTCCATCTTGCTCAGCTGCTTAAATACTTTAATACACAGGGATGATTTCCACAAACGTGTGCTCCACAGTTAACAATCATTTTAACATCATACATTTTAAAAATGTAAACCTAAGGAACCAGGATATATGGAATTATTATTCTCTTTGAAGGGCAATTTCCCCAACCTTTCCTTCCCTCCATTTCTCCATTTTTGTACCGATGGGAGTTCCCATCCAGGGCCTTGTGTTAGACTGGTATGCCCATAGCCCTGTTTTCTCAATTCTAATTTACTCTATTTCCCAAACGATTTATTAAAAATTATATCCCAATAATCTACTCCAACCCAAATAACTGTAACTTTCCTTCTTTAAAAGGCCTTATCAATGTGTGCATGTATATGACCGTGAGGGCACATGTGCCACTGTGCAAATACTGAGGCCAGAGACAGCCTTGTGGAGGTGGCTCCACCTCCTCCTCCACCTCCACCTCACGTGGGTTCTGGATGGCCGCAGGTATGGATGGCCTGCGGCTCACTCACAGCAGGCTATCTCACTAGCCCAAAGTGAGTTCATTTCCTTAAAAAAAAGTTATTTGTCTTATGCATCACTCTGTATTATGCATGATTACATCAGTGCAGTGTCCACAGCTGACAGAAGGAAGAGGGGTCAGATCCCCCTGGAATGGGTGCGGGCCCCCGAACCTGTGTCCTCTAGGGAAGCAGCCAGTGTTCTTAACCACTGAGCTACTTCTCCAGTCCCATGAGTAATTTCTTAAAACAGTCATGCTTCACGATTTTTAAAATCTTCTACTGAATACTTGTTGCTGCTGGTTGGGGTCTCCCATAGCTTAGGCTCGCCACTAACTTGACATGCACCAGGAGCCTATATTCCTGTTTCACCTCCTAGGTTCCAGGGTCCCAGGCAAGGCCAAGCATTCAGGAGGCAAGGTATGTGTATGTGTGTGTGGGGACCTGCCATGGGGTTGAAGCTTACCCTAGGCTGCCCAGTGAGTCCCAGGGCAGCCTTCGATGCTTACTGAAATCTTGCTTTGAAAGGGAAAAAGAGAAAGGGAATTTTTTTTTTTTAAATGGGAATTGACATTTAATATTCTGTTCCCCATGTCCCTTTACAAGACCTCACTAAGTAGCTCAGCTGGCTTTGAATTCATGATCTCCCTGAGTGCTGGTACTGTAAGAATCGGGGTATTAACTTCTACTGAGTATAGATATAATCAAGGCCTTCAACTATTCAAAACGAGAAAGGGAGAAATCTAGCCTGGCATGGTGGCTCATGCCTTTAATCCCAGCACTTGGGAGGCAGGAGGCAGAAGCAGGCAGATGTCAGTGAGTTTGAGGCTGGCCTGGTCTACAGAGCGAGTTCCAGGACGGCCAGAGTTACACAGACAAACCCTGTGGGTGGGGAAAACAGAAATCTGTACAAACCACTTATACCCATAAATAGCCACAAGACAGATAAGCAACCTACTGCTAATGCTAACTCTTAGTGGCATAGCCACATGATATCTGTAGACAGCAAACACAACCCCAGCCTTGAAAAGCTGGGTAAACACAACACAGCCCACACTTCCCCTCACTTCAGAGATGATGGCATCTCCATCCCCAGTGCCTCCATTCCTCTTCATACTCCAGCTACCCTGCACATAAACATGCCTGTCTCTGGAAGGAACACTCAAGTAACAAAAACTCCTGCTCTTTATTTAGTTGTTCTTACTGGAGTTGGTCTACTTTTACAATGACCGCCTAGGCACTGTTACTAGTAGGTACTGTGCCAAGCCTCCATACCTGAGATCTGTGGTTCCCCATGGAATCTAGGAGTATATGGAAATATTTCTGCTCACCACAACAGGGTGGCATGCTACTGGCATCTACTGGTAAGGCCATGGATGCTATTAAAGTGTTATAAGACATAGGACACACTCCAACAAAGAATGGTCTTGATGAAAATTATCTTTATAGCAAGGTTGAAAAAAATCTGATATATATATATATATATATATATATATATATATATATATGGGATTGTCAAAACTTATAAAAGACTGGAGTAAATACTTTAGATCTTGTGGTCAACAAATACCTGTTCAGCATAGCTCTGCAGCTATGGTACCAAGTAGCCAATGGTAAACACAAAGGGGCGTGACTGCAGTGGCCTCACTCAGCATGCCCAAGGCTCTAGGTTCATTCCAAACACCATGAGAGAGAGAGAGAGAGAGAGAGAGAGAGAGAGAGAGAGAGAGAGAGAAACCCCTCAGACTGCAGGTTATTTCTGCTCACTTCCTGGAACACTGTAGACTCCTGCTTCTCAACAGAACATTCTGCAGAGATAAAAATGTCCAGTCTCTATTGCCCCAAAACATCTGCCACAAATCACATGTGTGTGCTAAAGATATGGGGAGTGTAAACAAGGAACTACACTATGCCTTTCGTTTTATTCAGGCTCAATTTTAAACACTCATACGTGGGCAGTGGATCCTGTACCAGGTCTCTGGGTGGCTTGCTCAGTCTTGTCCTCACAGAGCGGCTCCATCTAGAATGTGGAGACACACCTCAGAGGTTCCCACCTGGCCTTTAAAAGCTGTCTTCACCACAGCCCCATAGAACCAAATCATAGTAAATAAAATCCCCCACACCAGGACATAAGTGCTAAAATTTTAGCCAAAAAGGCAAAACAAAACACGTTCCCCTAAGACTTTCATTAACATTTGCAGTTTTTAAAATCTAGGCTGTCAGGGCTGGATGGCTCAGAGGTTAAGAGCACTGGCTGCTCTTCCAGGAAGTCCCGAGTTCAATTCAATTCCCAACCACATGGTGGCTCAGAACAGTCTGTAATGAGATTTGGTGCCCTCTTCTGGCATAGAGGCAAAACACTGTATACATAATAAATAAGTCTTTAAGAAAAAAAATTCTATCCTGGATATGCTGACACACAACTTTAATCCCAGCACTCTGGAAGTAGAGGCAGGGGGATCTCTGGAAGTTCATTTCAAGGCCAGCCTGGTCTACAGAGCTAGTTCTGGGACAGTCAGAGCTGTTCCAGAGAAACCCTGTCTCAACAGACAAATAATTAAACAGATAAATAATAAGCGTTGTACAAACCAGAATGCCAGAGCAGGAGAGTTAGCAATAGTCACAGTTAACAGCATGTTGGTGACATCGATGATGGGGACCACATGGCACTAGCCACAAATTCTCAAGATCCCTCTTCCTCAGCGTCTCCCAGCTGCTGAGATCGTAGGTGTGAGCTAGAGTACTTGACTACAACCAATGAGGTGGTCACCACCACCAATCCATTTCACACATAAAGACACCAATGCACACAGGTTACATAACTTGTCCAAAAGGCTGGATCCTAACCTTGCCGCTTCTGTCAATGGATGAACCATGCCGTCTTACTTTCATGAGGAGTCAAGCTCTCCATTGTAGGGCCCAGCTATGACAAGGTCAAAAGAGGCCTGAGTTTCAGATTGCCCCAAGGCAATACCTGCTTCCAGGAAAAACCACAAACTGAGACCACCCAGGCACCTCCCAGAGGAAAGTACCTAACCTTGCAAAGGGAATTCCTAACATTCCAACCATTGTAGATAGGATCACCCGATGTCCCTTAGCCCAGCAATACACCCACACCCTTTCACCAAGTCGCCCCTAGACAAATATCAGCCAGTCAGGGGTCCTGAGCCTTAGAAATCCCTCACCCTACTCTTCTCTTTCTGCCATTTCTCTGAGACAGGTCATAGCCTGTCTCTCTCTCACCCCCCCTCCCCCCAACAAATTTAACACACTCTCCTCCCTCTCTCTCACCCCAACCTCTGCTATGATAAAAACCAACCCCAAATGAGCTCGAGGCTCTCTGATCGTGCCAATGCCTTAGATACACAGAGTTTGAACTTGAATAAAGGCTCTTTGTTTTTACCTACAGGGTTTGGTCTTGTTGATTTTTTTTTTGGGGGGGGGGAACTAAGAGATCTGGGCATAACATCCATGTCTGCAGCAAGACTGCACAGTGTTCAGGGGAGTCATGCTTGCCTCTCTCCAAAGTTTCCCTTTCTCACAAGAGAATGGGCTTTAGCACAATGTCTAGGATGCCTGCAG